GACATTATCAATATCGTACGAGAATCTACATGTCATCAAGCCAACAACAGCTAGGCACTGCAAGTCAGTTAATCCTCTGAATTTAGTGTCCTTAAACTGTCGCTCGGTGCCCGAATGCCCCGTGGTATAATGAAAATCTTCGCGTAGAAAAAACAGAACCGTAGAAAAGCAGAGCGACAGAGGTCAAGGACCAAATTAACCGTTCAACAACAGATTTATAGGGAACAATGTCGACTAGTTGGTTCAAGGACAATAGACAGCTTTGTAGACTCACCAAACACCTAATGGGTCAGAAAGGTGAAATTGTCCTACCAAGCTGTAATTCGGAAAAAGACAAGTTCAGCGATTTCTTTCTGAATAAAATCAGCTCGATCAGTAAAAAAATTCTCGGAAGTGAACTCTACTGCTGACAATGATATCTCTGTTATGACTGCTGACATTAAATTTGATGGGGAACCATTGACAAAGCTCTCACCAACAACCCAGGACGAGTTGCGCAATATCACCATGACCTCGCAATCGAAGACCTGTGAGCTTGATACACTGCCTACAGATATATTAAAGTAATATCTTAAAGCACTGCTTCCTTTGATTACATCAGTCATGAACAAATCATTGACTTAGTCAAAGGTTCCATTGTGTTTCAAAAAGGCACATATTAGACCAATGTTGAAGAAGCCTGGACTGGAGTTGAAGAACTACCGCCCAGTATCAAATCTGTCTTTTCTGTCTAAGATCTTGGAGAAGGTTCGTCCAGGCGTTTAGAGGTCCATATCCATGCAAACAGTCTCCACGACAACCTGTAATCGGCCTACCGCATGGGACACTCTATTGAGACGGCCCTCATACGTGTACATAATGACATAACTTCTGCATTGGATAACAAGTGCAGAGTGGTGCTTGTCTTGCTGGATTTGTCAGCTGCATTCGACGTCATCGACCATGGCATACTTTATAAACTTCTGGAATACTCTTATGAAGTGACAGATACCGCACTATGCTGGATACAGACTTATCAGAATGAACGACGACAGTGTGTTGCCATCGGATCTACTACCTCACATGACAAAGTACTAGATTTCGGGGTTCCTCAAGGGTCGGTGTTAGGTCCACGAAATATTGCCTGTACTACAAACCGATCAGAGAGATTTGTCGTCGCCATATCCTTCGCTATCATTGCTATGCTGATGACACACAAATGTGCATGGTCATCAAACCACAGGACAGTTGGAATACAATTTCAGAAAACCCGAAAGCTTGTCTGACAGATATCAGTACCTGGATGAACGTCAACATGCAAAACCTTAATCAGGAAAAGACGGAATTAATCGTCTCTTCCCCAAAGTGTCAGCAAACAATGGCTCTCCAGCTCAAGGTCGGTGCCAGAACTATTGAGACTGTCCCAGCTGTTAAAAATCTAGTGGTTTACTTTGATAGTTCACTGATGAACATGGAGAAACAAGTGAACGCTATTGCCAAATCCTGTTACTACCAGATCAGGAACACCAACTGTATCCAGCAGTTAATATTGGTGCATTCACTTTTTACCTCTCGGTTGGATTTTGGACAACCCACCGTTTGTACAAATTTCAGTCCCCTTGGCCTAAGGATGCTCCATGGCAAATTTAGTCCAAATTTACTGGGTCGTTCAGGACGAGTTGCATTTTAAAATAAAAGTTGACGGACGACGGACGGACGGACGACAGACGACGGACGCTGCGGTATGACAAAAGATCACCATGGTCCTTCGGACCAGGTGAGCTAAAAATTGAAGTTCGAACAAGTTTGACGTTTGAAAAATTTTGAAGTTTGCGCAGTAATTTCTAAATAAACAAGCCTTATTATACCACAATCCCCCAAAATCAAAACCAGTGTTCGTACTCATGGCAACGGGTAATATTCCTATTCCTAACACGATTTTTCATCCGGTGGGAAATCGTGTCGGGGTGATATCGTGCCGTAACAGCCCTTCATCACCACGTCTTCTTAGTCCGCCATTGACCCTTATTTCATTTCTTCCACCGCATATCACAAAGGGGTTTTTCCCTGATAAACAAGGCCATTTTCAAAACCGTAACAAGCTCTGTCGAAAATAAAATTTCATAACTTAAATGTGTTAAAAAATTATTATTCTCACATTATTTGTTTATTAATGAATTATAAATCAATAATACATAAGAATATGTATCACATAACTGACCCATTTTACCATGTCATACGGCCATGTCATAAAGATGGTATTACACACGTGTGATAAAACCTAAAGGTGTTGCGATTGGTCAAAACCTTTGGGTGATATTCCTACGCCACTACAGATACTACGGTTATTTACTTTATCATATGATACATTTCTTGATTATTTTAGACAATTTGAAAGGTCAATTTTGTTATTATTAAATCCATTGCATTTAAAACTGTTCATTACTTTTTTTTTCAAATCTGAAACTACTTTGGACTGCGCGGAACGACAATAATATGATCGGAATACTTTGGATTTTACCTATATAGAGTCGCCTGATAACAAATGATTGTGTTTGAAGTTGTTTGTTTAACCTATTAACATTATGTGAAAAATAGAATCTTACATTCGTGTTAATGTCATATTGAATTTATTTAACTAATTCAATAGTTTCAATATGACACTCGCCTAAAGGCTCGTGTCATATCAAATTATTGAACTCGTTTACTAAATTCAATATGACATGGACACTCATGTAAGATCCTGTCTATATATATCCTTCTATCCCTCTATGGACAAGTTTGTGAAACGCACTACCCGAGGTAGGCGTACATATATGTCAGGACGGGCATACTTAACGTCAACCCTACCCACAATCCGCTTATAATATGGCGGTATCTAATTATTAATCAGCTACTGTACTTTGTATCGGCTGATAAGATTGTTTATACTTCGAGGTGAACCTATCGGTTATCTGGTCTCGAGATTGTACACACAGCTAGAGGTCGGAGGTGGTCAAGCCTTGCTAGCTAGTGCCCACATAAACTATTAACACATGCTTTTGTTTACGTAGCACATTTGTGGAATTCGTTAATATGTTTTGTTCCCAATATCTACGTCACTGCACTTTATTATATAAGTCAGACAAAAGCAATCGGTATTGTCATACATTTGTTTAACAGAATTATGGTGGAATATTTAAACAATAGACAGGCCAATAGACGTTAGTTAAATATTTGTTCAACATTGTCGAATCCTATTTTATGCACATGCATTGATTATTTCTTTAATTAAGGTGAAATATACGTTTCAGCTTAAGTGTTCAGGAACACATTGTTATACTCCCCTAAGTATTGATAACAAGTTTGATTTGATAGGCCGTGTTTAAAAATACGCGTAGGATTCCGTGCATTCAAAAATATCTCGAAAGCTTTGTATTTGTCATATTTGCACATACCTGGCATATCAGGGTTACAACAAAAATGCATATCATGTCAAATACGAAACCATTCATATCCGTTTGATTGAAGATAAACGTTGTCCAGAATGCCTGGAAAATAGAGCTACGAAAATGACAATAATATCTACTGTTTCAAGTAATTACTTAATCAAATGAATACTTTGTTTTTCATTTTAATAAGTACATTTCATTTTGCGTGTTTACAGTGTTTTAAAGAAGAACATACCTGGTTAAAACATGTGTGGTTTGTTTTCTTTAAAGTGTCCGGTTTATAAAATTTTACAATTCATAAAAAAAAGTATTCACATCTTACACAAACCTTTGAATAGTAATGTATCGTGTAGTACTTACTGGTGCATACATAAAGATGACAAATGTACAATTAGACCGCTGTTTTGACCGTAATTATGATAACGGTGAAGAGAGTTTCACAGTGACTTGGTTTTTGGTCAAAACTCGCGTCAACAACCATTACGTTGGCTGGTCTTATACCTGTGTTTGAGTGAAAAACCCGGTGCTTGATATTACACGTATACAGTATTACAACTGTAAACTATCCTGAAAATTGAGTGTTCTTTCCAAGATGGAGGACCTTGCAAATCAACGATAACTTCGATAAGTCAAACGCAACTGCAGGCAATTTTTTAACGATTTGATGACAAACAAATCAATCCAGTATTGTTTCTTAAATAATTTTGCATAGAAGACTTCAGTTTGCGGTATATGCTCATAGGTCTGTATGACTGTAAACCTGAAATACTTCTGAAGCGGTTTCACGCTCATAAAAGTGATCTGTTGGACAAAACAGGAATTATGTGATATTCTGAGGAAACAAAGGTTGTTCGAGGTATAAACTTAAACGTGTATGCATGGATAACGATGAAAAGTTGTCTAAATATGTATACGTTTATCGCGTCGGCGAGTGACTGTCTCATTTGTTTGGAGTAGGGGGTGTTCATCTGGACTCGTAGTCTTGACAATGATTTAGAAAAACCTGAATACTTACAAGTATATACAATTGTTAGATCTATATTTAGGGCCACGTGTGGCGAAACATTTTAATAACAAGTCCCAGATATTTCACGATAACAATTGCCTTGCCAACATACAAGGGCTCAGCAATGAAAAACTGAACACAATATTGTCTGCTGACCATGGCTTCATACTCTCCTGATATTAATTTGATGGAAAAAGTATGAAGGATGACTAATATTCGTCTACAGCTTGTGCAACCCGTCAGCAAAATAACACAGGAAGTTTTTGAAGTTTTGCGACATATATGGATGACTGTCCCCTCAAGCTACATAACTACACTTCATTCCAAACCGTATAGGCGAACTCGGGATGAAATTACTGCTAAAAGACATGCAACGCAGTACTAAAACGTTCAGGTTAATCGTTCAATCGCTTTTAGAGATAATGTCTCTTACATAACACTGATTTATGCCAATCGTAAAGCAGGACATCATGAAAGCATGAAAGACATATGGCATGTGACTGTTAATTAATAAAGGGAAATATGACAGAAAATATTAGGAAGTATTTTTCAAACTGTATGTTTACGCCAATTTCCATACTTACATCGGGCACTGCATCAGTTCCAATATATCCGTTTAACACATCTAGTACCGGTCCATAAAAATCATTAACTGCTTAAATTGTCGCCAGCACGCCTCCAAAAACCTGATACATGTCTCACGAGAGTGAGTTTAAAGGACTAGGTTTAAAGCCGAGGGTCCGATAGATAACGCCGTACGATGTGTCGTTCCGTGTGTGTGCATGTATTATCTTGTAATTATTCAAAGAGTGATTTGTTATTTTATAACACCAGTAAAACAAAACACTGTTATACTATCGGTTTCAATCACAGGAAGATTCGTTGGCTGATACAGAAAGTTCGAAATGGAGGCGGAGGGGGCGGGACTCCCGGATAACCCCCAATCCTATATTTGACCCTAATTTTACCATGACCTGTATGATGCATGTGTGTTTCCAAGTTATTGTGGCATGTCCAATGATATAGCTTCACCGATAAAAGTTCAAATATTGGATTCGCTACTTGTAGTACATGAACTTTATCAACCCCTAATCAGAGTTGTCGTTCTTAACACTCACTTAATTTATGGGGGGATTTACTTGGTGGACTGCAACCTAGGCTGCCAAGGGAGGTACCCGAATGTGATTGAACAGTTACGGAAGTGTGCCTTCGCGTTTTACAGGCATGCGTGCTTGTACGCTCAAGCATAGACTAACATTTTCAAGATTTTTTTTATTTTCATCATATATTTTTATTAATATTAATAATAATATGGACCGCCCGTATCAATCATAAAAAGGAAAGAAATAAAAAAAAAATGAAAATTTTAGTTTGATTAAATAGTGTTGTTATGTCTATTATACACATTGAAAAATCTCGAAGGTCTAATAAATCTAAAACTACTTAGTGAAGTACAAAGTTTATTAATATTCATATAAAAAGTCGGGTTTTTAATACTTGTTAATAATCAGTCTACAATGAGTTCCCAGAACACGGGAGATTGGTTCTAGGACATAGTAGACAATTGTCCAGCTATTGTCTCTTCCATACCCTCCCCATCCCCCGGCGCTACACGCCTACAAGTTCCCTGTGTGTCCACTCGCCCTGCACTGGAAGGCGACTTACACTCCTGTACCGGGCAACACAACTACCGATACGACACAATTTTGTTATCGCACTGCTTTTCATAGACAATTGTACTGGATCCAATATTTGAGGTTCTAACTTGTTAAGGACATATCATACTTTTATTTGCCTCTCCTTTTAAAAGAGTTACATTATGATAAACATGTAAGAGAATATTTAGGGATTAAATGTCGCAAATTGAGTTTTAATGACAACGCGAAGCGGAACAAATTAAACGGAGATTTGCAGCGGTATAATCACAAAATACTGACTCGAATCTCAACTCATAGTAAAGTCAATTCACATTCTTATTCTTATGAGGTAAAACTCTAAACAAGCATTCTTTCTATGATTTTCCCTCCATTTTTGTCCATTTTGAGTTTGGTTTTTGTCCTTGTGTATAGACGATGTAGTACGTTTTTTCTCTACTTTTTATAAGGATTTAGCATGCTTACTGATTCTGATAGAAGATTGGCATGTTCCTAGACGGTAAAGATGCTTTCTCATTCGGTAGCCCCGACGTGTCTTGATACATCAGAAATGCCCGTCAGTTTACATTACCTATTAAGTGAATGTCCTCTGATAGACCCATAGGCTACTTCTATCGACAGTCAATATAAACCAGGAATACAAAAGTATCCGTCAATCATGATCATGACTCCGGAAAACACCGAACGCAAAACGGAAAATGACGACTTGTGTAGCCTATGCTAATCTCTCTGTTCATTGATTACATATCAGAAAAGCCGCAACCCTATATAGCTACTATCTTAGCAACGTTAAATTTTATAGGAGAGTTTGATTACAATCGACGCCATGGCACTTGTCAGAGATCGGACTAATAACATAAGCTAATATAGATCAATTTTAAAATATAATTTTACTGCTGATACTATATCAACTATGACCGATAAACACTCAAATAAGTTTAACAATACTGTCACTCTGTTTCTATCAGTCAACGGCGTATCAGTCTGTAACGGCACGACTTCTCACCCCGACACGACTTCTCACCCCGACACGACACGACTTCTCACCCCGACACGACTTCTCACCCCGACACGACTTCTCACCCCGACACGATTTCTCACCCCGACACGATTTCTCACCCCTGCATAATTCCTCCCCCGGGTGAGAAATCGTGTCGGGGTGAGAAGTCGTGTCGGGGGGAGAAATCGAAATCGTGCCGTAACATTAGTCACATCTCTATTGGGACTACAGTTATTTTATACTTATTTCTATTTTGAGTTTAAAAGACGACGAATAAGTGCATAGATATTTTCCTTTCTTTCTTTCTTTCATACTTTAAGTCTTTCGACTCATCAGTTACAAAGTGCTCATTCAGAACATATTATACATCAGGTATTATCATACAGACCTTAATTATTTCCCATAACTAGGTTATCTCCCCAGTTGGAACTCTTTTGTTTTGTTTCAATTCAACTTCGCAAGTCACGAGAGCTGTTCCTCCAAGCGCTTACCAGTTGTTACAATGACTGTGCAGCACGTGTGGTGAATTGAATGTGTCAAAGTATTATGCAAAGGTCTTCATGTGTTCCGTTAAACTGTTTCCATTGACAGTTTAATTGAACACGTAACAACGTCGAGAATACGGAGGTGTTAACAAAACCCTAATTCGAACTCAAAATCGATACAACCAAAAAAAGTGACTCTGAGGTAGTATGAATTACATGAGAAAGTACACAAGTGTGTTATTTTAAAACAAATATCTTATTTCAATACACAATCTATGCTTTCCTTTCCAAGGCGTCGACATACAAACTGGTGAACAGGAGAAACTACGGAGCCCCCGAAGGGACATGGTAAAACATTTACTAATCCGTGCGCACGAATTAACAAACTGTGCACACGGATTACGAAACAGTGCACACGGATTACTAAGCCGTGCGCACGAGTTACCAAACCGTGCACACGGATTACGAAACCGTGCACACGGATTACTAAACAGTGCACACGAGTTACCAAACCTTGCGCACGAGTTACCAAACCGTGCACACGGATTACTAAACCGTGCGCACGAGTTACCAAACCGTGCGCACGAATTAACAAACGGTGCGCACGAGTTAACAACCCGTGCGCACGAGTTACCAAACCGTGCGCACGAATTAACAAACCGTGCGCACGAATAAATAAAACGCCGGGTGTACTAGTTAGCAGGAGTTATCTTTCTGTTTTCATTAGTTCTTCCCCAATATATGATAGCCAATTCCTACCGATCAACGGGAAGCCTACATAACGTAAGTATCGCGAACTTGACATAACTAACAAGGAAGCTATGACTAAGATCTACTCAAAGAAGTTATTGATCCTTTATTTGCTATTGTTTAGCACCAAAATGTCAAAACATTTAGTGTTATTTATTGCATACAGTTGGTAATTTTATAAACGTGAGCACTTTGGTTTGCAATTTCTCATTTAAATTCGTTTACATGTGTAACTCATCGCCCCTCCTCATTGGCTGATACTCTATAGTAAGTGTGTTAGTATATTTCACAAACTGTGCATTATTGTATCGTTTCCCTCTGTGTTGTTTACATCTTATGTCAAGTTATCACAAAACGCAGTGACACTATGAAAACACACAGCAATTTACCCCCTCCCTTTGTCCATTAATTGTCCGTGACATTTGGAGAAATTGGGTCGGTTAGGGTAAACTGCCCCGCCCATATTGACATTGGTGACACAAATCGTTTTGAAAGAATGAATGCACATGTACATGACACCGTACCAAAAGGGACAGCCAACTACTAAGCTGTATGATAAGCGGAAGGATTTCACTTTCCTATCGTGAACTTTCCCTTTCTCGATAGCAACATCCCTGCTCCCCCATCTACGGTGTACTCATCAGAATGTCTTGTGGTTTGTTGTCACTAATCGGGTTCTCGTTGTGAGGACGTGACATTACTTCGTTTCGACTTAGATTTACATGGTGGGTTTCACCGATGAAGCAGAAGACGCTTACCCTTCCGGAACACCTGGTCTTATTCGCCTGTTACTTTTTCATGGGTATACATGTACATGTTTTCTTTCATCATAGTTGTCACAGTCCCAACAATAGTTTTTATATATTTAGTATATATCAACAGTAGCAACCACATTTTCTATAGATTCAGTAAAGATTCAATTATTGTCAGTATATAATTTTGTTCTACATTGCATTATCAATTTTGTAACTATTTATCATATTTATAATAACAATTTCATGTGGATTCGGTTTTAAGGACTCGCACAACTTAATCAGCCACAATCGGCAAGTGTTTCAATACATTTTGACAACATGCAAGTGGCCTACCGCATGGGACACTCTACTGAGACGGCCCTCCTACGTGTACATAGTGATATAGCTTCTGCATTGGATAACAAGTGCAGAACGGTGCTTGTCATGCTGGACTTGTCAGCTGCATTTGACGTCATCGACCATGGCATACTTTATAAACGTCTGGAATACTCTTATGGAGTGACTGATAAAGCACTATGCTGGATACAGTCATACCTGAGTGAAGACGACAGTGTGTTGCCATCGGGTCTGCCACCTCACATGGCAAAGTACTAGATTTCGAGGTTCCTCAAGGGTCGGTGTTAGGACCACGAAAATAGTGTATGTACTCCAAACCGATTGGAGAGATTTGTCGTCGCCATAGCCTTCGCTATCATTGCTATGCCGATGACATACAAATTTACATGGTCATAAAACCACAGGACAGTTGGAATACAGTCTCAGAAAGTCTGGAAGCTTGTCTGACAGATATCAGTATCTGGATGAACGCCAACATGCTTAAACTTAATCAGGAAAAGACGGAACTAATCGTCTTTTCCCCAAAGTGTCAGCAAACAATGGCTCTCCAGCTCAAGGTTGGTGCCAGAACTATTGAGACTGTTCCAGCTGTTAAAAACCTAGGGGTATACTTTGA